ATCGCGCTGAGCTGACAAACAGCTGATCAGCTGTTTGTCGGCTCAGCGCGGCAGCCATGTAAATTTAAATGAAGCGGCGATTATTTAAATCGCCGCTTCATTTTACTATGTCTGGTAGCCTAATCTACATGCCTCTGGCGACAGAGGCATGTAGTCTAGATGTACCCTGAGATTGTTATTGTATTGGTGTGTCTTTCATTTGCCACACCACTTTATCCTAATGACTATAATTATTATTGCCTTGAAACAAAATACAGGACTATGTAGCACTTTAAAGACTAACAAGATGGTTTATTAGATGATGAGCTTATGTGGGCCAGACCCACTTCCTCAGATCAAATAGTGGAAGTGGGTCTGATCTGAGGAAGTGGGTCTGGCCCATGAAAGCTCATCATCTAATAAACCATCTTGTTAGTCTTTAAAGTGCTACATAGTCCTGTATTTTGTTTCAGCTACAATAGACTAACATGGCTACATTTCTATCACTATTATTGCCTTGTTTTTATCAGCTGCACCGTTTCATTCTTTCACTGTGAACTCTTATTAAATCCATCTCTACTCTTTTATTGTAACTGTTCACTTCTAAATAAATATTATTTTTGTTTTAAAAGATGTACTGCTTGCTTGTCTGTTCTTGATCAGAAGGCTGTATCCATGTACTTGCAAAGGTCAGCAAGTTAGCAATTCCTTTGGGGGTAAACCACAATCTTGGTTACTGCTTTAGCTAAATTAAGAATTAAGGTGTCTTTTCAGGCAATATCACTTCTATACTTAAATTGGATCAAAATCTTCCATAACATGGGGATGTTGTGGAATCTCTATCACTAGAGGTTTTTAAGAACAGGTTAGACAAACAGCTGTCAGGAATGGTCTAGTTATTACTTAGTTCTGCCTTGAGTGCAGGGGATTTGACTAGGTAAGATCCCTTCTAATCCTACACTTCTATGATTTTATGAAAATGGCAAAATACTGTCTAGGCAGTAATATTGCAGAACAGGATCTGAGAGTTATAGTGGATCACAAATTAATATAGCTAACAATGTGATGCAGTTGCAAATAGGGTTACCAGGTGTCTGGTTTTGAACTGGACAGTCCAGTATTTGAGTTTTCTGTTCGGGAAACAAATTGAGAAAGTATAAATGTCTGGTATTTTATAAATAAGATGTAATGTCGATTGTGATGTAATGTTATGTGTGTCTGGTATTTTTGTTGAAACCATCTGCAATCCTAGTTGCAAAAAAGACTGATATTCTGGGTTATATGAACAAAAGTCATTTCTACGACATGGGAGATAACTCCCACTGTACTCAACACTTATAAGGCCTCAGCTGGAGTATGGTGTCTAGGTGTGGGCACCCCACTTTACTCAGACAAATTGGAGAGTGTCAAGAGGTAAGCAACAAAAAATGATAAAAGGTTGAGAAAATTCCACTTACAAGGAAATTTAAAAAAAAACCTGGGCATGTTTAGCCTTGGGAAAAAAAAGATTGCAGGGGGAATTGATAATAGTCTTCGATACATTAAGGGTTGTTTCAAAGTCAAGAGGGTAACAATCAGTTGTCTATGTCCACAGAAGGTAGGACAAATAATAATATGTTTAATCAGTTAGAAAGTTTTTCATTTTATCTAACATAAATCTCTCTAACTAAAACGATGGTTAAGCATTGAAAGATGCTTCTAAAGGAAGTTGTGGAATCCCCATCACTGGAAGTTTTCAAGAACATGTTCTCCTAGTTTGATCAGGAAAGGTCTAGCAAAGGGGCTGGACTAAGTGATCTTCTGAGGTTATTTCTAATCCAGGGGTGGGCAATAATTTTTGATGGGGGGCCACTTCCAAGATTTTGGAAAGTGGTCGAGAGCCACACTCTTCCACGGTATTAATGGAGGAGGTGTGGGGTTTGGGATGGAGGTTGAGTGCAGAAGGGAGCGTGGGGTAAAGGATTGGGGTGCGGGAGGGAGAATGGTGTCTGTAAGGGAGTTTGGGTGAAGGAAGTAGTTGTGACCTAGGGCAGGGAACTGTAGTGTAGGGTTTTAGGATGTGACCTAAGGTAGGAGGGGACTGTGATCTCAGGCAGGAGATTGGGATGCCAGATCGGGGAAGGGATATGGGTGCATGGGGAGTAGCGGGGCAGGAGTATGGGGCAGAGGAAGGGAGGAGCTGAGGTGCCAAAGGCAGGTTCTCACCAGGAAACTTACCAGCCTGCCTGCTTGCCTGCAGAGCTAACAGCTTGCAGAGCTTAAAATGTTTCTACCTGCTTGGCTATGTGCTTGAGTGAGTGAACAGGAAGGTTGTGCTTTGTGGCTGCCAGTTATTCAAACAGGCAGCTACCATTGGCCAGGGTCTGTCCAGAAACTGGCCAACAGGATTGTGCTGGGGGTGGAAGCAGCTTCTGAATCGTCCCCCCTCCCCTCCCAACTCAAAGAGAAAGCACCCTGCAGCTGCGTTACTGAGCTGTGTGCAGGGCTGCGGGGCAAGCAGGGGAACCTGCCTGGGGTTCCCCACTGCCTTGCGGTCTAGTTCCAGTGGCTTGGCGGGCTAGATCCAGCCTGTGGGCCGTATTTTGCCCAGGCCTGTTCTAGCCCTACACAGCCACTGTTATGTGAAGCCATACTCAATGTTTATGCAGATTTGAGCTACTGAATGATATTGCTTAATAAATTAATTGCAAAACTGATGGCTAAATGCACTTTTTACATTTTTTATTAATGACTGATTATGGGTGAATTTAATATATAGAACTAATAGAGAAAAGATCACAAATGCACTTATGGATATGGATTCAGCTATGTATAGGCTGATCTTAGATACTGAAAGCTTCTAGCAAGGTTTCCTTCCTTATTTTTATGTAGAAGTCCTTTTCTTTCTTTTAGGTTTCCCAATGCAAACTCTGGGCCAATCTAGAGACAAAAGCATGAAGGTTAGTCTTACGAAAGCAAAAATGGGAGAACATACAACATAGTGAACCTATAAATGGCTTAATTGCAAATCAATTTCTGTAGAAATATTTCTCAAAAGAACTAACAGTATTTAATGTCAGGTTACCTTGAACTATCCACCCAATGAAAAATAAATTAAATTGGGTTACAAATGCTATCTAAGGCCTCAGGACCCCCTTCAAAACATGAACGATTTAAAAAACACAAGAAAAAAGCCTTCCATCTCGTATTATAAAACTTCAGGGGAGAGATATATATATCTATATTGATTGCTGATTTAATCTAATACATAATAAAGATCTTGCTATTATCTAAGTAGGTTCCTGTTTTTCATAACACATATCTCAAGGGAGTACTAAAACCTAGGGCCTTGTTCTACCCTGACTTCACTGGGGTTCTAGGTGGTATAAGTCAATGGGTACAGCTTGGTCCCCGGAGATTAATTTATTACTTTCTCCAGGATCTAGCAGGGATTGGAAAAGATATTACTAAGTCCACTCAGCTGAATCCTCTCTCTCAAAACATTGCCTCCCGTCTCCTCAGACAAAGTTCCCAGAGCCAAGATTTAGCAAAGGTGGCAGTGATTTTGGGTGCCCAACTTGGGGCTCCTTAAAGAGATCTGATTCTATAAAGGGCTGAATATCCACTCATTAAAAATCAAAGCTACTCAAGTTGAGCACTGAAAAAAAAAATCATTACTCTACTTGGAAAGAAAATGTTGGTCTAGGTTTTTGCTCAGGACAAACCTTTTTCCCAGTCAAATTAGAAAATAGCATAACTGATGACAATTCAGCCACTAAAAGATAAGCATGATCAATCAGGATCACAAAGCATCTTAAATACTTACAACAGCCGAGTAGTGTAATGACCAAAACCAAACCAAACCAAACAAACCGATACTCAAATGGAAAGCGGTAGAAGTGTGAAGTATCTCAAAATGTCTTACAAACATTTACCCTTATCAAAACCACAATACTCCTGCAACAAAGGTAGATGAAGTCAAACCTGTACATTCTGGGCCATCATTCATGGGCTCAATTCTGTGAAGTGTCAAGCATCCTTATTTCTAATAGTAGTAGCTGCTAGAGATGTTAAATATCGGTTAATTGAAAAGTCAGGTATCTGCAGGTGTGGATATGGATAGCTGCAGCTCATTTTTGCAGATATGGATGCAGATGCAAATTTTGTATCTAGAACCCTGCAAATTTGCATCGATCCGCTTTCAATCCATGGGTATCCACAGACGTCAATGTGGATATCCACAGATCATTTTTGCAGATGTGGCTACAAATTTTGTATCCTCACAGAGCTCTATTGATCACTTGTGTAGTTTGCGTTGTGAAACTTTATAAATATGTAAAGAAGAACCTCCTTTGGAAAGATGAAATGGAATTTGTGCTAACTATCTCAGCCAGAATTTGTTCTTGAGTACCTTACATTACTTACATCTTGCAACATGTAGCTTACAAATCTGAAAGTAAACCTGAATAACTAAAGCATCAAGGAACAGAACCTTCCATATCAATTTAAAGTCTGACTACTATGATGAACAAACTCATGATTAGTTAAGGGCTGATGGTTCTGGAGAAAAAAGCCCTCTATCTTCACATCAACACAGACTGAAGCAATGCAAGAATGCTAATTATCATCTGGCCAACAGGCTTCATGTTCTTGATAGACTGCTGGTCGGATGGGAAGGTATGTGGTGTGGATAATACCCTTTTCTATACCCACTCCTTCTCTGGTCCTCTGCTGAGCTTATCTGCAATGATGCAAATGAACACTAATGTAGTGTTGAAGTAGACACTGATTGACCAGAAACTAAACTGAAGTCACCAAACTCATTTCACATAGGCCTCAGAAAAGCTATAACTTCTGAATGGTCCTTATTGAGGAATCCCTCCCCATCACCTACAACACAGAAAAATGACAATGTTCTGCAAAGTCAACTTTATTCAAGTAAGAAAAATAGTGTAGAAAAATAAAGGGTTCCTGTAAACACAAGGCCACACAGACTAATATTTTCTACTGGAATTACAAATCACCCATACAAATCAAAGATTCCTGACAAAATCACTGATAACATATTCAACAAACTGACTGTGAGCAGATAAACATGGTCACACTGTGGTTTTGGTCTTTTAAAAAATAACCTGTAAGTATTCCTTATGTAGCATGATTCATATTAGAAATAGCCCATTTACAACCCTTTCAGAGAAGTCACACAGTTATATATATTATATATGGTTTAAACTATAAAAACAATATAAGACTTTTCCTAATATTAAAAATCCATAGTGCTAGCCACAGCAAACCAAACCAAAAGTGTTCAAGAATAGGAGTATAAAACTTTTAAAACATGTCTATATAAAAATTATTTCCTTTCAAAATGTATTTAGCCACTGAAGTAAAATCCTTAAAGATACTCCTTATAATATACAAATGTAGAGTTTTCAGACTTAACTGATGTGTCAGAGGCTCTCTAAGTTAAAGAGAAGCTATTTTTTAACAGTGTCATCTTTAGGTTTGGATTTGTAGTACTTCTGACCAATGCCATAAGGTACATGTGCTGCTACTGTACCCAATTGTTGTGCTCCTTCAATGTGAAACATCTGATCATCAAAGAAAATATGAGGCCGGATTTTCACCAAAATTGGTCCTTTTGGAGCTCCTGCGAGGAAAAGTGCTTCATCAATCTCCAAACCCCAGCTACGAAGAGTCTTCAGCACTCTGGCTCCTGAACTTGCTGCGCTTCTAGCTGTGACGAGGTAGGTCCGTATAGGACAATCTAATCGTTCATTTTTCGCATAAAATTTCTTCTGCAGCTTGCCTAAGTCTTCCAGAAAACCTTTCAAAGGACCCTAGGCATGAAATACCAGAAACATGTTTAATGTTTTGCACTTTTCCCATAAGCATCTTTGTACAGGTTGAAGCTCTCTTAACCGGGATTTTCTGGTCTGGCAACATCCGTGGTCCAGCACAAATGTTGCAGGACCAGAGAGTCCCAGTGGAGGGCCAGTGCCATGGATCACTGCAGGACTAGCAGGGCAATGGGCTACCCACAGCAAATTGGTGAGGCTGTCCAGGGCATGGCAACAGGTCTGCCCAGCGGGGTTGGGAGACATGTGTGTGGCTGCCCTATGGAACCCAGAGCCCCAGCGCGGCACACGCAGCTGCCCTATGGGTACTGGAGCCCCAGCATGGCACGTGAAGCTGCCCTACGGTTACCGGAACCAGGCAGCAATGGCTGCTCAGCAGAGTTGGCAGAATAGCAGGGCCAGTAGGAGGTGATGAGCTGTCTGGGAGGCCAGAGGGCCGGCGGGGGAGGAAGTGGGACAGCAGCAGGGGATCCAGAAATGACCTCCCCTGGTCTGGCAAAATCCTTCATCTGGGACCAGTCAGGTCTCGAAGGTGTTGGAACAGGGAGGTCCAATCTCTACTTTCTTCTATGCATGATTCATAAGGCTCCTCCTTGGAATCCTCTCTCAACACAATGCCTACAAATCAAACCAACTAGCAAATGACAGCTTGGCTGTGGGGCAGTTGTTGAATACTGATATCTATCTGCATAATAGAATTCTCTACACCACAAAGTTATTTGTATATAATAATTTTGATATAATTCAGTGCATCCCTCTTAAACTCTTTGCATGGTGCCCATCTTCTTAGATTATATGATCTTTATGGCAGGAATTGTGCAAATCTGTCTATAGTGCATAGTTCAGGGGGATCCTGACAGTGACTGGGTATGGGGAGTAGTGTTCCCTGTTAGATGAGCGCTGGGTCAGCCACCCAAAAATGATTCAAATGCTGCCCCACTGTTTAGCAGAGTGCCCTTAGAAGCATATGTTTCTACTGGTGGTGTGCATCTGCACATGCCTTCAGTGCATGTAACAAAATTTATTCTGCACATGGATGGAAAAAATGAGAGGGAACATTGATGGGGAGCCCTAATACACAATTATAATTTCTGTCCAGGGTTCATCAAATAAAAAACATACCTTTTACTTTTTTTCTAATGAAACCTAATTATATTCTCATACTGATTTTTTTACACTTGTGTAAGTATATTGACTTCTGTGGAGTTTCTTCAACTTTACATCAGTTTAAGTGACAGAGGATGAGGCCCAGAATTTTAAACTAAAACTATTTTGGGTCAAACTCTAAGGCTACATTAGGAAACTATTTTGAAATTACTAAATTTGACTTAAGAACTCCGGATTTAATAAATTCAAACTAGTGTGTCCTCACTATGGGGAAATATCAAAATTAGTCTGAGGCAGGCTCGGTTAAAGTGGAAGCACTCCAGGGAGCTGCAGGAGGCCTACCGGAGGCCAATAAGTTTGAATTAACAGCTCTGAAGCATCCACCAGGGATGGCTTAGGCTTATCAGTTAAACTTGTTGACTACGCGTATTTCTTGTTGACTACATACATCCCCTTCCCGCCCCCCCGCATATCAGAGGCAGCAGGCGGGGGAGCGGGGAGAGCAGGACCCAGTGCTTAAAAGCTGGTTCCCCCCAGTGCTGGCTCCGTGGTGACACCTGCCCCCGCCCCATGCTGCTACCTCTGTGGGGGGAGGGGGAGAGGCAGCAGCATACAGTGGTAGGGGGCTCCCCAAGAGTGGGGCCAGAGCATACTGGCTGCCGGCCCCGCCTCCGTGGACTACTGAACAGTCATGTAACCGCAAAGATTTCATGCAGTTACACAACTATTTAATTACCCGATATCCAACATCCCTATCGATCACACTAGCATTATTTTGAAATTACTGTTTCGGAGTCAGCAATATTCCTTGTGAAAAGTAGGTATACAGAGTTTGAATTCCACAGTCCATTACTTCAAAATAATGGGCTTGGTAGTATGGATGCACCACTTATAAAGGCAGACTGGGGGGGGGGGGGTTATTTCAGAATAAGGGCCTAGTGTAGACCAGGGCTGATATACTAAGTACCCACAATTTCCATTGCTTTCAGTGATCAGGCCCTTATTCTAATTTATGCCAGTGTAAATGAAAGTAAAGCTGGTTAAGTTGATTCTAATGTATTTGCATTCTTGAAGAGACATCATAATTCCGCTTGACAATGAGCACAAACAAATATTACACTTAAACCATTCTGGCATGTGAAACAAATTCCATCGCATTAATAATACGTTATTGGGATGTATACATTAGCTGTTCCACATGTTAATAAAATGTGCAATGAAGAATGAATGGATATTACATTTCAAGTCTAGGCATATGAATTCTGTTACATGCACAGAAGGCAACAAAGGATCACAAATATTGACGAAATGTTTCAGAGTACTATGTTTGGAGGCAGGACTGATTGCTGTAAATGGATAGAGGCTACCATGCTCACCTCAGCTAGGACCACACCCAAAATCCATTGAAATCAACACCAGTCTTTTTGATAAATTCAGTGGGCTCTGGATCAGGCCATTGGGATGATTAAATGAAAATACCTCTAGAGGTAGCTACAAGAACCTCATGTTCTTTCTCATGCGATATTTCTAATAAAATGGGAATCCTGTGTAAGGACTGAAGGATCAGGCCCTTAAATATCAAACATGCAATCTAAAGACTGTCTTAAAAGGTTCTTTGAATCAAAAATAAAACACCCATGAAGAACAAGACATGTTAATCTATAAACTTATGAGAAAAATAAAGTATCTAAAGCAAAATCAAGGCTCACCATTAACTATAATCTTAGCAATACAAAAGCAAAAGTTGTTTCAAAAGTTCAAGAAGCAGATACCTGTGCAAGGGGCTTATTCTCATTCATCTGTTCATGTTCAAAAAATCTATCCAATCCATGCTCTTTGACTATCTGCTCTGACTCATCAGAAAAGAGAACAGCATCCCCATCAAACGCCACCCTCAGCTGCTTATCAGAGTAAGGTACATCTTTATTTGCAGTGAACATTGTAGCAGATGCAATGCCTGAAAATACACCAACTTCAGTTAGCAGTTTCCAGTGGACTCAACATTATTATTTGTTATTGCAGTGGCATAGACACAGAATGAGCACAAAACTTCACTGCCCAGAGTCACAGTCTAATCCCAGATATATTTACATTCAGGAGTAACTGTATATACGCAAGCAGTCTCATGGATGTAAGTAAGATTATTCTCATGCATAGTCTAATATATAAAGGAGGAAGTTTGTAAGTTTGTGCGCTAATAACTTGGATACTATAAGAGCTACCGCAACCAAACTTTGCATGGGATAACCTTTCATCCAGGAGAAAGCTTTGAGGTACTTTTGGACCCGATCGGGCCCGAGCTTAACCTGTAAATATAAAAAAGTAACCTGTCGCACTGCACTGCAGTGGCTTCCCTGCCCACCCTAGGTCCCATGCCCAGCGCCTGTGGCCCCCAGCGCCATCCGGGACTCGCCCCCTCCCGCCCGCAAGGTTACATAAGCAACCCTCTTTCCCCCACCCCGTGCCGGCACGCAGTGCCCCGACCTCCACATGCACAACGGCTCGGACACCTGCCCTGCCCCCCGCGGCACCTGCAGCCCCTCCTGCATGTAATCTCCCCTCCACCTGGGGCCACATTCCCCCCCCGGGGATGACGCAGACCTATATTTTAATCCCTATAGAAATCAGTGCAACTTTTCTACCATTCAAAACAAGATGATGAACTGTTTTTCTACATTTTGTTCCTCCGGTTTCCTGAGCAACGCTGGGTAACTCCAGCTAGTTACTTTATAAGTGTTTGAAGGATTGTACCCTAAGACACATAGAAGATAAGAAATTTGAGGACAATATTTACTCAAGATTTGTTTTTATTTTAAGTGGTCTCTTTCTAATGTGATGGTGCAGACGGCACTGGATGTTAGGTAATTTTTGGCATCAGAGAACGGGGTGACATCAGGAAGAATTTGGATGAGAACGGAAGGGAGGACTGGCACACTGGTGGTGGTCATGCCAGGGAGAGGAGCAGGATGGATGAACATGTGAAACTGGGAGCAAGACATAAAGAAAGGGGTTGGCTAGGCTGGCATTACTGCCACAATGCTGGGGTCAAAGAGAGGAGTTATAAGAAACAAGATCAAAGGAGAAGGATAATAATTAAATAAAATCAGTGACAAGTTCATATTACATACATATATTGCACTCAATATTTACTGAAATATTTTCATCTCCTGTGAAAAAGATACGTATAATTATGAGTTCATGTGTTAATAGGCTTGAGTGAGAAATAAACCAAGGTAAGAATCAATCCAAACCTGCTTCTATAGCTTCCTGGACTTTTTCAGAGTCGGCAGAAAGGTATAAGTTGGTAAGATATGCTGTTAGGTAACCAATAGGGCTTTCTCCACCAGTCATACAGAAGCGTTCAATCGATAAACCTAAAAACAGGCATGAAAATCTCAGATACAGAGGAAATAAACAGTGTGAGACAAGGTGCAACCCTTGTGCTTTTATTCTAACACAGATAAAATGCAGTTATTAGCTGAACAGAGCGAAATTTCTTAAATGTTAAGACCTGTCTATGATGTACCTTTGTCCCAATTTCTTACCGAACAACAGCTACTTTGCTCCCTTCCTCTGAAACATGGGATCATCTGGAGTTGGGATACCAGCTTAGATGCACTCATGGTCTAATTTGGTATGACAACTCTTGTAGTTACATGTTGGTAAGACTGAAACTTAATGTGAATCTTGAGATGGACATAGTGGCCAGATCTTCAATTAAGGACTTCCTCATTGTCCTTCTGAACACTTCCAGTTTTACAAAGTGACTATTCAGAATCAATGGAGTGACACCAATTTGCATCAGCTGAGGAACTGGCATTGCAGTCATATAAGAGGAATCTTATTTTTCAATTAACATTACATTTTGAAGCAGTTTTCCATCTTCAGTAGTAGTCTGACTTTTAACAACAATTTTAAGAGATTTAACTGGACACAATGTTTGATCGTTCTTTATCTCCCACTAACCCCCTCCTCCCCGTCCCTCTGAGACAGCTCTGTGATTGCAAGTGTAGACATAAAAAATATGAAATAAAGAAACATTCAAGGACTTTGTCTTAGAAACTGAGATTCGGACTTGACAAGTTAAGTCTAGAGCTTTGGGCCAAATCCCGTTTAACAAATTCTCACTTGTTCTGACACACACAAATAAACATCATTCACCTAGCATTGAGTATCTGTATCGAAGAAACTACCCATTCCAGGGTCAGAGCAGGCAAACTGAACATGCTTTAGTTTATAGCATGCTCTACAAAGTGTTATTTATTTTACTTACCATAGTGATTGATGCTGTTTATGAGTCTCACTCCCACTTGGGCATGGTTATTAGTCATCAGAACAATATCAAATAGCTCTTCATCCTTAGGGTACAGTTCACGAAGCCGGGCATTGACCTGTTCCAGTGCCTGCAGGTTAGAAACATTTAAGTGCATAAACATATGCATTCTCTCAATCAGAGTAATTTTGGTTATACATATGGGCCCTGGCTTGAAGAAGAATGTGGAAAGCAGTTTGGCAGTTTAAACCTGCCAAACTTGTTTTATTCATTTCTCTTCTTCACCTCCCAGGAACAATATTCTAGGACTTGTTATGACATTTTATGAAAGTTACAGAATTCAACTGTATAATGAGGGGTTTTTTTACTTGGGATTCATATCATCAACTAGAATAAATGTGTAAAAATTCTGTACGCCACCAAAGGTCTTCTTTTAGTTTCCAGATGAATTGTGGAATCTAATATTTCTAGATTCTGAAAGCTGACATACATTTGTTTTAGTGTGATCAGTCTTTGACGGGAGTTTATCCTGATTTAGGATAATGAGATTTCTCAAGGGACCAGCTATTTGTAGATGGCACCTGCTGGTACCCATTGGTAATTGTTTATGATTTTTTTTAATGGATACAGCTAACATGAAATATATTTTCTAAACTCAACATCTATATTGCTCCTGCAACATTCACAAATAAGTATAAAATGTCTTTTTGGTGTGATTACTTGCTTTGTATGCATAAATGGTGTGCGCAAGAAGTATGCAGGCACCTTTTAGAAAGGCAGGTCTGATAATTTGTCCCTAAACAATGAGCATTAAATCCTGCCCTATCCTATACCTATTTCCCTTGAAGGTTTCTAACCCAAGTAGTGAGCTGAACAAATCCTGATTACCCTAAGGCAGAAGTTCTCAAACTCATAGACTCATAGACTTTAAGGTCAGAAGGGACCATTATGATCATCTAGTCTGACCCCCTGCACAGTGCAGGCCACAGAATCTCACCCACCCCTCTAGAATAATCCTCTCACCTATGTCTCAGATATTGAAGCCTTCAAATACTTTGAAGGCCCCAAGATGCAGAGAATCCTCCAGCTGTGATCTGTGCCCCATGCTACAGAGGAAGGCGAAAAACCTCCAGGGTCTCTGCCAATCTACCCTGGAGGAAAATTCCTTCCCGACCCCAAATATGGCGATCAGTTAAACCCTGAGCATGTGGGCAAGACTCACCAGCCAGACACCCAGAAAGTTCTCTATAGTAACTCTTATCATCCCTCCATTGACCTATTTCCCACTGATAATGAATGGTCAATTAGTTATCAAGATCATGTTCTCAAACCATCCCCTTATCATAGAATCATAGAACTGGAAGAGACATCAGAAGGTCATCAAGTCCAGCCCCCCGCTCTAGGCAGGACCAATCCCATCTAAATCAACCTGGCCAGAGCTTTGTCAAGCTGGGACTTAAACAACTCTAGGGATGGAGACTCCACTACTTCCCTAGGTAACCCATTCCAGTGCTTCACTACCCTCCTAGTGAAATAGTTTTTCCTAATATCCAACCTGAACCTCTTCCACCATAACTTGAGACCATTGCTCCTTGTTCTGCCATCTGTCACTACTGAGAACAGCCTCTCTCCATCCTCTTTGGAACCTCCCTTCAGGAAGTTGAAGGCTGCTATCAAATCCCCCTCACTCTTCTCTTCTGCAGACTAAACAGACCCAACTCCCTCAGCCTCTCCTCATAGGTCATATGCTCCAGCCCCCTAATCATTTTCGTTGCCCTCCGCTGGACCCTCTCCAATGCGTCCACATCCTTTTTGTAGTGGGGGGCCCAGAACTGGACACAATACTCCAGATGTGGCCTCACCAATGCCAAATAAAGGGGAATAATGACATCTCTGGATCTGCTGGCAATGCTCCTCTAAATGCAACCTAATATGCCATTAGCCTTCTTGGTTACAAGGGCACACTGTTGACTCATATCCAGCTTCTCAACCACTGTAACCCCCAGGTCCTTTTCTGGGACCTGCCCCCCAAGGGAGGCATGGGAATGTGCCAAAGGAGATGAGAGTTGTGGAGTTGTGATTTTTTTTAAGATCTGTCAGCCCAGGGTGGATGGGACTGCCACTCAGTGTTTCCTCTCCTTCCCCTCAATCCCCACTGGGAGGAAACCTGTGCTCAGGCTTTCCTTCCCTGTCCCCTAATCCCCTGCCTGAAGATGCCAGGGCACCAACTGTCAGCCCTGGGGAGGCTGCAGCAGCACAGAAAAGTGACAAGGGGATGGCCAGTCTTCTGTGAAAATTGGTATTGATACTTCTGTTGTCTTAGCAATGCCTTCAGAGCTGGGTGCCCAACTGCTCTCTGCTCTGCCTTCAGGGCTGGGTGGTAGCATATGCTCTTCAGGGGTGGGAGCATAAACAACTACATACACAAAGACGAGGGGTCTGATCAAATATGTTTGAGAACCACTGACCAAGGGTAAATGTAAAGATAAAAGAACAAGATTTTTTTAACCTACCTTTAAACACTTTAGTTTTGAAATTCTTGGCCCTGTTATATGGATTATGCTTAAGAAAGCTTTACGTGACAGCTATCTACAGACCTACAGAGAGATCCTGTTCACAGAAAGAGGGGATAAGATCTAAGTCCCCTTTCCATTCTTGTATTCACAGACCTGCAGTGTTACAGAACATTGACTATTTATTGAAGTGATGGGGTGGAAGAAGCAATATCTTTTACTGGACCATTTTCTGTTGGTAAAAGGGATAAGTATCGCTCTGTGGGACAATTTTCACAAAGCAATCACTCTGACCTATCAGTCCTCATCTTCAAAGGAAACATGCACAACATGTTTAAAAGACAATCCTGGAAGCTGAAATTCATAATTAAACACTAAAAATCATAGTCTTCATAAAGACATTGTTATGGCTTATTATAACAATCTGTTACCCACTAACCTCCATTTGTGCCCTATAATTTAGGAGTATTAACCTCGTCTTGAATGTTGCTTTACAGTATGTGCTATTTATGCTGAATAATCTGTTTGATCTTTGTATTTAGCTATGTTATTCTCTGTAGCTTTTTCAGGCCTGCAAAAGAGCTCTGTGTAGCTCAAACGCTTGTTTCTTTCACTAATAGAAGTTGGTCCAATAAAAGATATTATTGCACCCACTTGTTTCTCTAATATCCTGGGACCAACATGGCTACAACAACACTGTATATTCACTGAAGTATCAGACAAGGGTGAGATGTTAGCATGCTGGCATATTATGATGCTTCATCATGTTTTTATTTTTGTCATTATCTGGAACACATTCCCAAGCAGCTTGTGGATGCAGTGAGGTATAAAATTACATATATGTCAGTGACTGCACTGATCACACTTATTATTACTGCAAATTTCTTGAAATTTATTTCACCTAGAAAAGTTACTTTTCTGGACTTGAAAACTTAAACTGATTTTTTAGTGAGAAACTCGAGGTTTTAGGCTCCAAAAGTCAGCAAACCTTGACTTTTGTTTGACATTAATCTCTTTGGGCAAAGCTGATTTGTACAGTGCCTACCACAATTGGGTTTTGGTGTGACTAGTCTCCTAGGTGCTATGGTAATATAAATAACAAATTAAAATAACCATATATTAAAGTTTTCCCTTAAAGGATTTTGTAGAAAGATACCATTTCAGACCTGATCATTTCTGCATCTAAGCAGAAAATAATCCCCCATTAGACTTACAATGTAGTGATCTATGTGTTCTGCAGGAGGTCAGAATAGATGATTCAATGGCCTTTTTTTGGCCTTAGGGATTGAAAGCAGGAGTAAAACAATTATATATCGCCTAACCAAATACACAGATAGTATGTTATGTATTTTTAAAAAATATTGTGAGCACATTCCAATCCTTTTGTCCTCTGTCTGCCTCATTTACTAGGTTAAACTTAACATTTAACCGTTTAACTAAACAGGATTTTACAACCTTACCCAGTGTACCCATAATTTGGTCAAAAGTGTTAAAAAATGTTTAGTTACGCATAGCGTTTCTGAGGCTATTCTTAGAAACAGTAGGTTTATTTTAAATCCACATGGAAGTGCTATGTCATAGATTTTTTTCCTCCCAGCTGCTCTATTCAATTACCGACAATCCAGTAGATCTTCTCAAAAAACTGCTTTGGTGATGCCTGTTTGTGACAATTCCCTGAAGAAGTTTAATGAATGCTTTGGAACAGATTCTCTATTACACTCAAGCAACCCTGCTGAAGTCTTTATTTGTAAGATACGTGTAAATAACCAAAGATGAAAGACTATTTTAAATATAGTTTACCCTACATCATGAAGGCCTGTTTACCTTTGTGGTATTTCTTAGCTCACACAATGAAAACAAAATAGTCAGTTTCACTCCTGCATAGAGGCCCCTGAATCAGAGTCAATGTCTTAGCCTGGTTCTCCTTGCACCAGCAATGTTTGAAACCAGCCAAAATATTTTAAATAATGCAAGAAATTCTATGAATATTGAACTTACTTCTTTAGTCAAGCAAATTCTAATTGAAGTGAGTAAATAGAGTAAAAACTAAGTTGTTCTCTTGCCCCACGATAATTGTATCTTTTGAGAATTTGACTACTTGTATAGCAGCGATGGGCAACTAAGACTAGTGAGTGGGCTGCTTGAGTGTCCCATGTTTCAATCAGTGGGCCTCAGTGGTGGGCAAGCTGTAACCCAGTGGGGTTCCACCTGCAGTCTGAGCCCCTTCTCCCCTGCCCCTCTCATGCTCTGGGGCACCGGAGCCCTCCATGTCCTATTCCTCTGCCTCCCTCTCACTTTTGGAACACATGAATCTGCTGATTTGTGCTCACACTGTCACCACTCCTCCTCCCTCCCCAAGCCTGAATTGCAATGATGGGGGCAGGGGGGACTGGGGCCTACCTCTGACCAAGCCCACCAGTTCAGCTGGACTTGGAGAGGGCAATGGATGCTCTGGCCAGGGGCTCCCAGTGCCCACATACACACCCAGGAAGAGACACCACTTTCCAGTGTGAATGTCTTTCAGCACCCATCCTGGCCATGCTGCCCCATGCTCCTGGACACAGAAAACCTAGATTTTTTGATAATAGCCATCCCTAGGCAGGCTAGCCACCCGTCCACCCTTCTACAGCTTATCAGGTGCTCTGCTGTTGTGCCACTTCTGTCCCTCCCCCTCTGGTTGGGCCAGGAGTGTGTACACCCAGCATATGGCAGCTTGCTGTTCTGGGCAGGGCTAACACTGTGGCCAGAGCATATCTGGGGCTAAGGGTTACACTTGGATCCTAAGTGGGTGGGCTGGGAACTATCCAGCCCCACATTCAGCTACGCCCCTGGTTTGGGGCCTAAATTATCTGACAATGCCTTTAAAAAAATGTACCTTCTGTCTGCACTGTGATTCTGCTATGCAATCATTCTATCCTAACCACACCTTCTGTATGAAGCATTCTTTATCTTAGGTTGCCAAGAGCTAGTAACTTCCTCCAGCTAAGCCGTGCCAGTTCTTCAGAGAACACTATATGATCTTACATATACTTTTATCTTTAAGGACTCAAGGAGGAGAGGAGAGCAAAATGATTCCAATTTATTTCAGTCCGGAGATAAAGAGCCAAGCTGAGACTATTCAAGCAACTCAAACGGGCACTAGACCTGAAATCATTTTCCAGAAGCCTCACTGTGTTCAGTAGCAGACTCCGCCTCTTCCCCAAATTTGAGTTTGAGCTCTCAGCATCCTCCCTGGTTCTGTGACATCCTGTTCCCTCCCACCATATAAGCCTAGCAGCCATGTTTAGTGTATTTTTGTGTGAGTAAAGGCTAATGGCGACATGATTGTGCAAACAGATGTATTTACCAAGCACTCTGGCTCCAGGGAGGGGTGTAGGCAGGCAGGAAACCCTGCAAGACTGTTTATAGAACAGAAGCTTCCTGAACTTTGAAATGGGGTGTCTTACCTTGACAAAGTAGAAAGCTGGCCCAGGGTTTAGGGGGAGGTTCTCATTTTCCTCCTGGTACTTCACATAGGTTTCCACCCCTTCCTCTTCATAGATTTTCCTGTCTTTCACCATGTCAAAGAGAGCCCGGGAGGAGACTGCCACAGTGATGGCATTTTGGGGTTTAGGCTGTAGACAATCAAAGGATGAGCAGGCAGGCAAGAGATGAAGGAGAGAGAGGGAAGGAGGGAGAGACGACACACAAGGAAAGGGGGAGAGAGGATGGGGTGCCCCCAGAGATGCCAGGTATTGAGAGTGGGTAGGGAAAAGGATGGCACCCATGGAGGAGAGGACAGTGTGGTGGTTGGATGGGGGTGAGAGTGGTACCCAAGCCTGGGGGGGCAGGTGTCAGAGCTATACTCCCCCCCCCACACACACACATACACTCACACAGATACACCCAGCCTGGGGGGGCAGGTGTCAGAGCTATACTCCCCCCCCCACACACACACATACACTCACACAGATACACCCAGCCTGGGGGGGCAGGTGTCAGAGCTATACTCCCCCCCCCACACACACACATACACTCACACAGATACACCCAGCCTGGGGGGGCAGGTGTCAGAGCTATACTCCCCCCCCCACACACACACATACACTCACACAGATACACCCAGCCTGGGGGGGCAGGTGTCAGAGCTATACTCCCCCCCCCACACACACACATACACTCACACAGATACACCCAGCCTGGGGGGGCAGGTGTCAGAGCTATACTCCCCCCCCCACACACACACATACACTCACACAGATACACCCAGCCTGGGGGGGCAGGTGTCAGAGCTATACTCCCCCCCCCACACACACACATACACTCACACAGATACACCCAGCCTGGGGGGGCAGGTGTCAGAGCTATACTCCCCCCCCCACACACACACATACACTCACACAGATACACCCAGCCTGGGGGGGCAGGTGTCAGAGCTATACTCCCCCCCCCACACACACACATACACTCACACAGATACACCCAGCCTGGGGGGGCAGGTGTCAGAGCTATACTCCCCCCCCCACACACACACATACACTCACACAGATACACCCAGCCTGGGGGGGCAGGTGTCAGAGCTATACTCCCCCCCCCACACACACACATACACTCACACAGATACACCCAGCCTGGGGGGGCAGGTGTCAGAGCTATACTCCCCCCCCCACACACACACATACACTCACACAGATACACCCAGCCTGGGGGGGCAGGTGTCAGAGCTATACTCCCCCCCCCACACACACACATACACTCACACAGATACACCCAGCCTGGGGGGGCAGGTGTCAGAGCTATACTCCCCCCCCCACACACACACATACACTCACACAGATACACCCAGCCTGGGGGGGCAGGTGTCAGAGCTATACTCCCCCCCCCACACACACACATACACTCACACAGATACACCCAGCCTGGGGGGGCAGGTGTCAGAGCTATACTCCCCCCCCCACACACACACATACACTCACACAGATACACCCAGCCTGGGGGGGCAGGTGTCAGAGCTATACTCCCCCCCCCACACACACACATACACTCACACAGATACACCCAGCCTGGGGGGGCAGGTGTCAGAGCTATACTCCCCCCCCCACACACACACATACACTCACACAGATACACCCAGCCTGGGGGGGCAGGTGTCAGAGCTATACTCCCCCCCCCACACACACACATACACTCACACAGATACACCCAGCCTGGGGGGGCAGGTGTCAGAGCTATACTCCCCCCCCCACACACACACATACACTCACACAGATACACCCAGCCTGGGGGGGCAGGTGTCAGAGCTATACTCCCCCCCCCACACACACACATACACTCACACAGATACACCCAGCCTGGGGGGGCAGGTGTCAGAGCTATACTCCCCCCCCCACACACACACATACACTCACACAGATACACCCAGCCTGGGGGGGCAGGTGTCAGAGCTATACTCCCCCCCCCACACACACACATACACTCACACAGATACACCCAGCCTGGGGGGGCAGGTGTCAGAGCTATACTCCCCCCCCCACACACACACATACACTCACACAGATACACCCAGCCTGGGGGGGCAGGTGTCAGAGCTATACTACCCCCCCCACACACACATACACTCACACAGATACACCCAGCCTGGGGAGACCAGGTGTCAGAGCTATACTACCCCCTCCTCTCCACACACTCATGCACTCACACAGATACACCCAGCGTGGGGAGACCAGGTGTCAGAGCTATAGTAATCCCCTCCACCGCCTACCACACACACATACACTCACACAGATATACACAGCTTGGGGGTCAGCAGGGACCAGGGCTGCAAACCATCCTATACACACAGCCTGCCCCATCATAGTTTCTCACCCTTACATAGTACCCTAAGATCACTGGAAGAAATGAATTGTGGACCTGATCCTAAATCCTTCGACCTGGGATCAGATCCTAAATATTAGTAATTAAAAAACATTATTAATAATATAAAAAAGAGAGAATGGATGGGTCAAAGGAAATTCCCTTTCATAATCTGAAATCTGTTTCCTTAGAGAATTAATATTTCAGCACTGGTTTATGACAGTAGCTGCCAGGCTACTGGTGTTTATTCGGGCTTTTTTAAAAAGGAGAATAATGATGAATTTTGAACATGGAAAAAAAAATATGATGTGGCCCTTTCAGCTTGGACACTAACTGTGGTTCACCTTAATGTCTCAAGTCTTAGTGTTGACATTCATTTAATATTATGTTGCAGCATCAGGCACTGATTTTGTCAATGGGATTAGAGATTTCTTACTTGCACAACAGTTTAGCTGCTTTAACATATACCATAGCAGAAAAGTCCTAAGATTTTCTCACTAGTATATGGACAAAAGAACAATGATATGTCCACCGGTAATATTGGATGGCTCTCAGTGGCTTGGTGAGTGCTATGTCTTGTACTCTTTACATAACAAATATAATGTGAAGGGACTACATGGGAACAGTAGAGTTCAAATAACTTTGTTCATTAAATATAACACAACATACAAGGCTTAGTCATGAATACACTATAGCTTTGGCTGGTGTCTGAGGGTATGTCTAGACTACATCCCTCTGTCGCCAGAGGGATGTAAATTAGACATACTGAAATTGCTAATGAAGCGGGGATTTAAATATCCACGCTTCATTAAAATAAAAATGGCTGCCACTTTTTTGCCGATGCGGCACTTTGCCTGCAAAAAGCAGCAGTCTAGACGGGGATCGGTTGACAACGAAAGCCTTTTCCGACCGATCCCTTATGCCTCGTGCATCGAGGTTTACAGGATTGGTCAGAAAAGGCTTTCCTTGTCGACTGATCCCCGTCTAAACTGCCGCTTTTTGTCGGCAAAGTGCCGCGTCGGCAAAAAAGTGGCAGCCATTTTTATTTTAATGAAGCGTGGGATATTTAAATCCCCGCTTCATTAGCAATTTCAGTATGTCTAATTTACATCCCTCTGGCAACAGAGGGATGTAGTCTAGACATACCCAGAGTGGCTAGTCTAAAACTCAGAACACAGTGAATACCCCTGGAGGGCTTGTGAATTATTTAAATGGAAGCAATGTTGCTTAGTGGATAGTGCATTGGACTGAGAGCCAGGAGACCTGGATTCTGTTGCTGGTTCTGTCATTGACCTGCTGGATGGCCTAGGGTAAATCATTCTCAGTTTTCCCCTCTGTAAAATGGTAATCGTGACTGACCTTCTTTGTAAAACACACTGAGTTCTATTGATGAAAACTAGTCTCAGAGGGGTAGCCGTCATAGTCTGTAACTTTAAAAAAATAACAAGTAGTCCTGTAGCACCTTAGAGCAGGGATCGCTACCTTTTCAAACCAAAGAACTAAACTACATCAAAAGTCAGAATAAGTGCTCAGCAAAGAGCTGTATAAGCATACCCATTTGCATGACTGAAAATATGCAACTTAATATTATTGATAATTGACATGATTAATAATAGCATAAATGAAATGGACTCACAGACTTTATTTAATGGGACTTCTGCTGCTGCATCTTTTCACACATTTCTTTGAAGTTTACATCATAACTGATCAAATCCAGCTTCATGCATGCATTCAGGCTGTCTTCTGTCAATCTTATAGCAGGGGGTTGGTTATGTGGAGGGTCAGGAGTATGGGTTAGAGTGTATGGGGGTCTCAGGGCAGGGTGTTTGGATGTATGATGGACTCAGAGCACAGGGTTGGGGTGTGGTGGGGTGCAGGAGTGTTATGGCAGGGGGCTGAGGATGTGGTGGTGCAGGAGTCTGAGGATGCAGGGGTACAGGAGTTTGGGGATGTGGGGATATGAGGGGTTCAGGGCATCTGGTGTAGGATGGGCTCAGGGCTGGTGTGTGTGGGGAAGGGGGGTTGCAGGAGTGTTATGATTCTGTGGCCAGATGGGAGCTGAGCCCCAATTGGGGGCTTCTTGGTCAGGTTTCATTTTTAAATAAAGAAAATATTATGTCCAACACAAAAAGTTTCAACATTGTCTTTATGGCAGGGGTGGGGAATCTTTTTTGGGTTAGAGGCCATTGAGCCCACAGAAAAATCAGTTTGGTGCCTCACACAAGTGTGAAGCAAAAGAACAAAACTAAACAAAACAAACTCTCACTGATGTAGCCCCCACCAGAGAAGGAGAAGGGCACTCCCCACAATCCCCTCGCACACCAGAACATAGTAACTTTTGTATGCTCCAGCCCCGGGGATCCATGCAAGCTAAGGGCCACATCCAGCCCCTGGGCCTGAGGTTCCCCATCCCTGCCTTGGAATCACTCACTATTTGCTATCAGAGGTATAACCACAGACACACCTGAGCAACTTTTGATCTGGCTAACAATAGTAGTGAACTTGTGACAGAACCAACTAGTGCAACCCCTGCTTCCTGGTTGCATTGCTATTGTTGCTCAAGAGATCTAGAGCGTGTAGCCGCGCGGCACGGGGTTCGAACGAGCAGGGATTTAAAAATGGCGGCGCCCAGTTTATGCAAATGAAGCCCGGGAAATTCAAATCCCGGGCTTCATTTGCAAGTGCGGTATGCCTACATTACCCTCCTAGTTCGAATTAGGAGGGTAGTGTAGACATACCCTCACTGATGTGACCCCTAACTGAGACACCTCATTCCCCTGGCACTCCAGCTCCATGGGTTGTGGGGGGAAGAGGGACAGAGCACAGACTGAGGTTCATGGCCTCAGTCCAGATTAACTCTTCTGGAGTTCCTGGGTTAGTGAACTTTGTGCACACCCCCACCCCAGGCCCTGGGGTGGGGCCAAAAATTAGTGGTCCAATGTGCTGGACAGAACTGCCAGTGAGTAGGACAGGGATGGAAGTGCAGGATCTGAGTGGGAGGTAGGGTGCAGGAGCAGGCTGGGAGTAGGGTGTCTGGCTAGGGGGGAGGGTGCAGGAGCAGGATGAAGGTGGGTGTCTGGCTAGGGGGGTAAGGAGCAGGAGCAGGCTGGGGGTAGATGTCTGGCAGGCGGTGGGGGGGGCAGGAGCAGGCTAGGAGTGCAGGAGCAGGCTAGGAGTGCAGGGTCTCTGTGTGGGGAGGGGCAGAGGGTGCAGGATATGGGCGGCACTTACCTTTTCCCCCCGTGTCTGTAACAGGGTTTATTCATTGTTACAGATGCAAGTCACTCCCACATGGCAACCAGCTGCTGCTCCCCATGGGAGATGGAATAAGTTAGCGGCCAAAGGGCCAAGTGTGGAATGGAGGTCATGCCTTGCCAGGAGTGCAGGGAGTCCAGCCAGTAGGTCTGGGTGTGATGGAAATCAGCCCCCTCAGTCGTGCCTCTTATAGCTCTCCAGGCTGGCTAGGATCCAGCCCACCAGCACCAGGAAGGCCAGGAAGAAGGAGCTCAGGCCGATGATGGACTCCAGTAGCCCCATGGGGTTCTCTGGTGGGTCTGAGTGCACGGCAAGTGTGGGCAGTGCAAGGTGGGGGCAGAGCAGTGCGCAGAGCATTGGGAACACAGCCATGGCAGCAGTGGATCCTTTGCAGACAATATGGTGGCCGGGTCTGCTTTTGCACCTTGCACTGCTCTCAGGCTCCTTGTCCCACACATGACTTCCCGCTGCTCCATTGGCCAGATTCTGAACAGTGAAATAGCAGGAAAAGCCTCCAGGCAGCGCGTCTGTCTCTGCTTTGTTCCTCCAGCTGGGGGAAGGGGAAGGAGCCCTCCATCTTCTTCGATCGCACAGTGAGGCTTAGGGCTTCCTCCACCCTTCCCCTCTTCCCCCCAGGAATCTGGCACTGGCTCCAATATCACAAGGGGCTCAAGGCTGGATTGCCAATGTGGGCTCCCCATTGCGAGGGCAAGAGCAAGTGGAGAGGACTGAGCTCAAGCTGCGAGCCAAATATGGCTCACTTAAGCGAGCCATATTTGGCTCACAAGGCATAGGTTGCTGCCTTGGAGACTAACAAAAGCATATATATAGTATCGTAAGCTTTCGTGGGCAAAATTCACTACTTCATCTGAATAATAATAAATGTGTATAGTATCATGAGTATCACCTGGGGAAGTGGTTTTTGCCCACAAAAGTTCATGATACTTTATATATTTTGTTAGTCTCTAAGGGTATCTTTTCACAGGAGGGCTAAACTCAAAATAAACTACACAATCTGAGCTACCCTAATTACATAGCTTAAGTCGAAATAGCTTATTTCGAATGTCTACACAGCACTTACTTTGAAACAGAGCACTCTTCCTTTGACTTCCTTTAATCCTCGTAAAATGAGGGTTACAGGAGTCGGAGTAAGAACTCCTCCGGCTGGACATTATTTTGACATTGTCAAAATAACTGCTTCTGTATAGACGTTCACTTTGTTATTTTGAAATGTTGTCAGTTTTTCCAAAATAATGGTGCTGTGTAGATGTACCCTAAGGTGCTTCAAGGCTACTCATTTTTTATTAAAATAGTTATTATTTATTGTGACCTTATTCTTAACCACTACAAAATGTGCTAATTGCCATATTCTGCTCCAAAATGTAAGCTTACATTGAAATCTAAACCAATTGGTTTTGAGTTCCAGTATTTTTTGTTCTAAATTGACCCCTTCAATTAGTGATGAAGATTCCTTTTACCCTTTTCCAGATACCAGAAAGTATGAACACCCTTAACTCTGTGGCCTGAACCAATGAACCTGAGTCCTACCTCTGAAGTGTTCTAGCTTCCATGACTTAGAAATCAAGCCATTACCTTCAAAATGCAAAATTCAGTGGCTTCATCTGAAATATTTAATGGTGCTCTTTGAGTTCTGTTGAGCAGGATTGAATTGTTTCTCACTGCATCAAGTGTCTTGGGGAATCCAAAGACAGAAAAGCATGAGAGGGGACATGAAACAGTTTTCAATTACCTAAAAAGGGAGAAGGGAGAAAAGTTGTTCTCCTGAAACTCTGAGGATAGAACAAGAAGCAATGGGCTAAAATTGCAGCAAGGGAAGTTTAGATTGGCTATTAGGAAAAACTTCCTAACTGTCTGGATGATTAAATACTGAAATAAATTGCCTATGTTGGTTGTGGAATCTCTGTCACTGGAGCATGTTAGATAGGCATCTATTAGGGATGATGGTGCTTGGTCCTGCCGTAAGGGTAGGTTACAGGACTTGATGACCCCTCGGAGTCCCTTCCAGTTCTAGTATTCTATGAATGCAAGGTAGACAATAGTCAGTCCTTATGACATAAGGTACCCATACTGCAAAATGGATTCCGCAGAGACACTTGATTTGTGTGATTTCACTGACTTAGCTACAAAAGGCACCAGATGCATACAGGGCAATTTAATGGTTGGTAAGTCTTCCAGATTCATGTCATATGGTGAGATGTGCTTGGAAGGAGCCTGGGAAAGGCTATAGCCCAGGGCAGAAAGCCAGGACATGCTGCTAGACATAGCTGGTGAGACACTATCAGATTCCTGGTCTATGACTAGACTCTATGGTAATGCACATAATAAATAATTATAATTTCATCTGCTCCACCAGATTAACATTTGGGGTAAGCCCATCTGTTCTGTAGTTAAAATAAACACTACTAAATAAAATTCTGCACTGAGAGCACTGATTTTTTTAAAATCATGAACACATTTCTAGTAGGACATTTTTTTCTATTTTTTCCACGAAATCTAAATTTAAATCTAGACTGCCTCCTATTTAATTGAATGCCTCCTATTGATGTTATCTTTTAAAGTGCCTGTATTCATGCATACCATTTTTATGCTAAGACATTTACATTTACACCTTGGAAATCTTTCAAACAATACAAGGTATTTACCTTCCTCTTTCTTTTCATAAAGTTCTTCATACATCTGGTAATTATTAATGATGTTACAGTATAAATGATGTTTCTCCCTCAGATTGAATGCCTCCTATTGATGTTATCTTTTAAAGTGCCTGTATTCATGCATACCATTTTTATGCTAAGACATTTACATTTACACCTTGGAAATCTTTCAAACAATACAAGGTATTTACCTTCCTCTTTCTTTTCATAAAGTTCTTCATACATCTGGTAATTATTAATGATGTTACAGTATAAATGATGTTTCTCCCTCAGTCCCTCCTTCCCATTCCCCCTCCCCCA